AACATTAAGATGTTTCAAAACTTGAATGAATTCTCATTTTAGAACTCAGACATTTTAACACTGTGTATAATATATAAGCTCCAATTCTGTGGAGAAAAACAAGGTAATTTCTGTGGACAAAGAATTTAATTGCATTAAGCAAAAGCAAACTTTCTCTTTAGAAGAATCAGAGTTGTAAGCAAAATTTCAAAGTGCGATAGGCAATTTCACATGAGAAAATCCTAAGTAGAATATTTTTTGTGTTCATGTGTATGTAGATATATTTACAACTAAATTTGAACCTAATTTGTTAGACCTTAATTAATTCACATACCTGTATAGATGAATATTTGGAAAAATTTTCCATTTGATACTGCCTAAGAACTTCATTTAGTCTTTGATCTGAAACAAAGAAAAAAAAACAATTTAAGTTCGCTGGGGGTAATGTTCAATTTTTAAAAACTAAAAATATAGTTTTTATGGTTATTATTTGATGTATCCAATGCAAAACGTCTAGTCTTCACAGCTTCTCAAAATAAGATGAATCATCAATTTCGAAATACTATTTCAGAACTTAAAAATAGGCCCTTTTATACACCCAAGCCAACTAGCTAATGCCAATAGGAAAAAGAACAGCTAAAAATAACTAAATTTTCCAGTTTCATAAACTTGAGTTCTCAGTCTCTCCTGAATTGCTCTTCAGGTTAGCAGAAGTAAAAAAATATTCTCCACATTTTTTAATTTTTAAAAAATTTTTATTTATTAATTTTTTTTTGTGACTGGTAAGGGGATCGTAACCCTTGGTGTGGAGCGCACCGGCCATCCCTATATAGGATCCGAACCTGCGGCCACAGCGCTCCCATCGCCGCGGCACTCCCAGCACCGCACTCTCCCAAGTGAGCCATGGGGTCAGCCCTAATAATTCTTAAAATCAACTAAAATTCTTTCAGGACAAACCTCCACACTGAAGACAAACTGCAGGACAAAGGATCCAAATGAATCAGAAGTGGGAAAGAGACAATGGAAAAGATTTAGAATAAAGTCAAGAACTCTCAGTAAATACAAAGCCATACTTTTATTCACATCAAGAAACATACATAGGACACAGCTCCCAACAAATGTATAATTATTCATTCTTTTTGAGATCACATGGAACACTTAAAATCGATTATTTGCTGGCAACAGAGCCAGTCTGAACAACTTTCAAAGGACTGAAATCAAAGAGAGCATGTTATCTGATGACAGCAAAATTAAGCTAGAATCAAGAAACAAAAAATAAAAGAAAAATCCAAATCCCCCATACATTTTGAAGTTAATAAATCACTTTTAAATAACACATGGATCTCAGGAGGGATTGCAAAATAAATTTTAAAGTATTTTGAACTGAATGATAGTGAAAATGTGATACCTCAAAACTTGCTTAAAGAGAAATCTATAGCTTTAATTGCATATGCTAGAAAAAAAAGGCTAAATCTACAATCCATTCCAAAAAGACAGAAAGAACAGCAAATTAAACTCAAAGAAAGTAAAAGAATTAATAAAGATAAGCCTAGAAAATAAAGCAATAGAAAATAAAACTCACAAAAAAGAGGATAAAAATTACAATCATCTCAAAAGTTACTATTAAAAAAATTTGATGAAATTCAAGATATATTTATAATAAAGCCTTAGTAAAGTAGGACTAGAAGGGAATGTGCTTAATGTGATAATGGAAACCTACATAAAACACAGGAAAACATTATACTTAAGGGTAAATAATACTTCATACTTATTTTCACTTGGAAATTGGAAATGATATATGGACAAATTCTCATGACATTTACTCAACACTCCTCTGGAGGTCTAAGTTAATGCTAATAAGGCAAGTAAAAGAAAAAGTATAAAACCTGAAAAAAAGAAAAAAATTGTCATTATTCATAGTTATGAGTGTATGTGTGGTTAATCCAAAAGAACACACAGATAAATTCTTACAAACAATAATTAAGTTATCAAGGTTGTTGGATATAAGGTCAACATACATAAATTAGTTATATTTTTATATACTGGCAACATAGAGTAAGAAAGTAATAAAAGATACCACACTGTGGTATCTTTTGTTTTTGTGTCCCCCAAAGTTCATATGTTGGAAGCTTAATTCCCATTGTAACTGTTGAGGGTGGGAAATCCTATTATGGTAATTGACAGGT